GAGGTGGATAGAGAAGGAGAGGGGTAGTTAGAGAGGGAGAGAGGAAAAGAGAGTGAAAGACAGAATGAAAGGAGAAGGAGGGAGCGAGACAGAGAGAAAGGAACAGAGGAAGCGAGCAACATAGATTGAGAGAGAGAGAGGGAGCGACAGATATATAGAGAGAGGGATGAGGAGTAGATAAAGAGAGACAGGGACAAAGAGTGGAACAGAGAGAGAGGGGGATAGAGAGAGAGACAGTGAGGGAGAAAGAGAGGGAGCGAGAGAGAGAGAGAGGAATAGAGAGAAACCGTGGCAGATAGACAAAGAGAGAGACAGAAAGATAGAGAGAGAAAGAAAAGAAAAATATAGAGAGGTAGATAGAGAGAGAGATAGAGAGAGAGAGGCAGAGAGAGAGAGAAGGATAGAGAGAGAGAGGGAGATAGAGAGAGAACGGGAGAGATAGAGAGAGAAGGATAGAGAGAGAGTGGGAAAGATAGAGAAGGATAGAGAGAGAGGGAAATAGAGATAGAGAGAGAAGGATAGAGAGACAGCATTAGAGAGGGAGAGAGAGAGCAGGAGAGATAGAGAGAGAGGGAGAGATAGAGAGAGAAGGATAGAGAGAGAGAGGCAGAGTAAAGAGAGAAGGAGAAATAGAGAGAGAGGGAGATAGACAGAATGGGAGAGATAGAGAGAAGGATAAAGAGAGAGTGGGAGAGATAGAGAAGGATAGAGAGAAGGATAGAGAGAGACAGAGAGATAGAGACAGAAAGGAATAGAGGAAGCGAGCAACATAGATTGAGAGAGAGAGAGGGAGCGACAGATATATAGAGAGAGGGATGAGGAGTAGATAAAGAGAGACAGGGACAAAGAGTGGAACAGAGAGAGGGGGATAGAGAGAGAGACAGTGAGGGAGAAAGAGAGAGAGAGGAATAGAGAGAAACCGTGGCAGATTGACAAAGAGAGAGACAGAAAGATAGAGAGAAGAAAAGAAAAATATAGAGAAAGAGGTAGATAGAGAGAGAGATAGAGACAGAGAAAAAGAGAAAGATGGAAATATATATTTATGGAGAGAGATAAAAAGAGCGATGAGACGGGGAGAGAGAGCTGGACAGTGAATGAGAGATAGAGAGGGAGTAAAGGGGAGTTGTAGATCGAGAGAAAGGGACAGATAGATGGAGAGATAAAGATACAGATAGAGAAAGAAATAGAAAGATAGGGAGAGAAGAAGAGGGAGAGAGCTTCTGAAGATTGTGGACCGATAGTGAAGAAGAGTAGTGTGTGGTATGTGTCAGGGGTGGAGGAGGAGGAGGAGAGAGCAGATATGGAGGAAGTGGCTGCGTCCGGTCTGAGCGTGAAGACAGGAGATGAAACACAAACCCCCGCCCCAAAACTCTTCTCCCCGATGCGGGCGCCGACACAAAACCAACCGGCTGAACCAACGGACTGAGACGGACACCAGACACACGAGATCTACAGGAGCACGTCCGCTAACGACCTGTCCACGTCCGAAGTAAATACGATAATATTGAAACTATGGCTACGTTCAGACTGCAGGGCTTAGTGCTCAACTCGGATTTTTTAGGGAGGTCGTTCGCATTTCCCATTAAACGCGATTTGTACGTGATCTCCAGTGTGAACTTTAAACGCCCCAAAAGTGTCTCGCATCGGAGGACACGACGACGTCACACACGGCGAACGTGCCCAGTGTTTGCGGAAGTCGCCTAAACGCTGGGCTCGTCTCTCAAAATACGGTCCAGTTCTTCAGAAAATGGACAGGTTACACGTCCACGGCCGCTTCGTTTGTTTGAGTCTTTATCCTCCTTGTATTTGGCTCGCAGGGTCTTGATTTTTCGTTGACATTGGAGCCAGGACCGACTGTATCTTTGGCAATCATTTCAAAACCGGTTCCGATAAGACTCCTCCAATTTGGCCTGAATACAGCGATCTCCCCAAATATTAATGAACTCTCTAACCTCGCTTTCCCTCCATTGACGAGACTTCGAGCCTGACGTGTAGGTGGGATGAATGCGACCTGACCGTTCAGACTGAAGTCACATGTCAAAAGATCGGATATGTATCGGTTTCAGGAGCACATATCCAAGTGTCCTGGGTCGCATTTGAAAAAAATCGGATCTGTGTCGTTCAGACTGTCATTAAAAGATCAGATACAGGAGCATAGTAGGGCTGGGTATCATTAAGAAGTTGTCGATACGATACATACCTCGATACATAGGCCACGATACGATACATATCTCGATACAGTGAGCTTTTGATTCGATACGATATATTTCAAATCAATTCGATATGGTTCAATAAAAAATAAAGCCTAAATCGTGGCTGTGATACTAATAATCTTTGTTAAACCACTTCTTGCGCAAAGTTCATTTGAAACACAAATATTTTAATCCTCAAAACAGTGAAAATGTCAAATGTGTTGAATAAACATGTTTCCTTTCTTTAAACAAGCAACAAAACTGTGGCAATATAACAAAATCATTTAGTTAATTATACCAAAAAATCCTCTTGGTGGTATATCGATACAGCAGCCCAAGATATCGATACTGTATCATCACATTAAACGATACGATATATCGATATTTCAATATTTCTGCACACCCCTAGAGCATAGGGGTGAAAAAATCAGATTTGGGTCACTTCAGGCTGCAGTCTTAAAGGTTGTATGGAGGATTTTTTTTGTTTCAAGTTGTCAATGATAGATTATAGAGGTGCAGTAGCCTTGTAATTATGATGACCAAAAAAAAGAGAATAAAAATTCATCAACTCTGGACGTGGTGGGGCTAAACATTTGCCAATAGATAACGACACTGCCTCGTTATCTGTGAGCTGACAGGCTGTCAATCAATCTCCCTACGTTTCTAGCGTAACTGACCTGTCTGCGCGCTGCCGGTACGTGGTTTACGTACGACTGTCACGCAGTCCACAGACGCAAGACGCACAGACGCTGTGTTTACTCCACCAACGCAACAGTTCTTAGCGGCTTTTTTTGACCTATATCTTCCTCGCAGTTCGCACAAAGTTTGTTGCAATGGCGACAAGAATCCAGGAGCAGTTCGCCGCAAAAGAAAGTCCGTTTTTGAGGTCGCTGAAAGAAGAAGACAAGGGGAAAAGCAGCGAAGCCAAACTAAGGTGATTCTTGAAGATTCATTCCAGCGATGGCGCAACTGAAGCAGACGAAGGGTCTAAAGACTGACGCACTGGTCGCCAAATTACTCCTGGACAGGAAACTTCTGCTTATTATGAAAACGTACTTTATTTCCAAGAGCTAAACAAACGTTTTTCAGGACACGAATGTGATATCCTATGTCTGAAAACGTAATTTTCAGTGCAAAGAAAGAGTCCGTTTGCTGCTGCGTGTTGTAGCTAGTTCATTCGCAGTGAAATCTCCGCGCAACTCTTCTCTGCACCCCTTTCCTGCTCCTGTCCCCGCTGCCCGATCCGCTCTTCTACCTGCTCCTCACTTCTCCGGGCACTGAATCTCCACGCACCGCTCCCCTCTCCTCCTCTCTCCTCTCCTGCTCCTCCCTGCTCTTCCTCGCTTCTTGTCTGCGCACGAAATCTCCGCGCACACGCCCGCTCCCCCCGCTCCTCACTTCTCCGTCTTGCCTAACCAACACTGTAGTTAGTTGTTTACAAGTCATGTGCAGCGCACCGGCTGTAAACAAACCTGTTTCTGGCGTAAGGAGGAGGCGGGAGGAGGCGTTTCTATGTAGGAGCTGTAGGGGAGGGGGGGTGGTTTCACGCATGCGCAACATTTGAAAAAGGACAAACAGTCGCTGGATTTCTCGTTCCTTGGAAAATCCTCTATACAACCTTTAATGTAGCCTAATGTACGGCATCAGTTCTGGGAAAGAGTCCAGGGTTGGTCTTTGGTCACTCCCTAAATACAATCTGAGCAATGCAGCTAAAAGGGTCCATACACTTTTTCTGATGTTATAATGTTTCCTCATCACAAACAGACTTGGAGTTGTGTTTTGGTTTCATTCACTAATGTTTAACACACAAATCCTGCACATTTGGGTTGAATTAATCTCAGAAAAAAACTGTTCCACCTTGTGATGTCATGTGGTAATACAAGAAGCTGAATCCACTGTGTTGCTTAAAAAGTCCACAACACCTTCACTATTGAAATCATTTGTTGATATTTCTCTCTTTGTTGTTGCATGTCGGCAGTCGAGCCACAGCTCTGTGTGTGTTTATATTAAACCTTCAGAAAACGCTCTTGTGGTCCTCAGCTCTTTTCTTATACAGCAACCAGAAACTCAGGATATCAAAAATACTGTCAGTGCATTTATTGTCGTCTCTTTTAAACAAAAGGCACATACATTCAGAAATAATCATAATAGCCTCATGAGAACTTAACAGAACGGTGTAGTTGAGTGAAAGAGATACTAAAATTCCATATTTTTCAAAAAGTTTTATTGACTTTTCCAGGATTTCCATGACCGTGGGATTCCTGTGAACTAAAACTTGAAAACTACCACTTCATATATTTGAGAAACCCCATTATTAGTCTGTTTTCATCTCCAAAGCTTAAAATACTGTTCCTCCTTGTGATGTTAACAGCTCCTTTTACCTTTAGTTCAGTAGAGATTGGCAATTTCCGAGCTGGAATTATCCAAATGATTCTAGTTTAAAAACACAGTGAGTGCGTATACATGAGAGTATTACCACTTATTAGTCTGTTTTCATCTCCAAAAGCTTAAAATACTGTCTTCTGTGCACCTTGTGATGTTAACAGCTCTCTTTTTACCTTTAGTTATTCAGGAGAGATTGGCAATTTCCGAGCTGGAATTATCCAAATGATTCTAGTTTAAAAACACAGTGAAGCACTTCCTGTATTCACTTTGATACAAAAACTTAGCCAAAATATTTGTGTCAATAAAATAAAACACAACTCCAGGTCTGTCTGTGATGAAGAAACAACATTATAACATCAGAAAATAGTGCCTCTTTAAAGGCTCCAAACTGAAAATGTTAAGAACTTTACATTCTCTTCTTACCGTCGTCCATGTCCGGCACTATGTTGACGCGAGCACTGGGGTACTGGTGCCCGAGCCTTCCTCCCATGGGCATGCTCAGGCTGACGTTGAAGCTCTCCTCCTCCTCGTACAGGGAGTCGTCGATGATCAGGACTCGGCAGGGCTTCTCCTCCTCTCCGCGGTCAAAGCGCAGAAGGCTGTGGTGGTCCTCGGGTCTGGAGATGTAGTCTGAGTAGGACAGCACGGTGGTGGGCACGGTGCCTGTGGCCGAGACTGGGACACAGAAGGGACAGGGGTTACACAGATGTTTAAGAATATATGTTAAGTCCAATTTATTTACTTTTATAATGGTGTAACAGTACATGTATTCGTGCTGAACCGTTTTGGTATGGGATGTTCAGTTCGGTGCAGGTGAGTTTGTACATTTTGCGTGTGTTTACATTCTGCCACTACATGTGCAGCTACACAGAACACTCAGCTTTTTCATTTTCACAAGGGAATTTGTCTGTGATTGGGGTGTCAGTGTTTCCCGCAGCGATTTATAGTTAGAGTGGCCGTCTTGACAACAATTGCCTGGATTACGTCCCTCCGAATCACACGAATCCTCACAAAAATACGGTCATCGCGCCCTGATCCTCACTTTCGGCGGTGCGGAATCTCCAGATCAGTGGACCAACGCTCTTACCAACTGAGCTACTGTCGCTGATTGATTAATGCATGTTTCAGTAATACAGTTTCGTTGCGTTTGAGCTTCAAGTGCTCCAAAAATGTCTGTTCTCAGCTACCTCCTCTCTCCGTCTACTCCTCCAGTACCAGTGTTGGATCTCGACATTGATACTGAAAGAAACCTCACATGGGCTGCCCTCTAATATAAGTTAATAGGAAGAGAGTCCAGTTCTGGGGCCAGGGACAACAGACTGATCAAATGAGTATCTAGTTTCGATACAAGTTTTAGTATCGATTAGTGTCTGATCTTCAACCCTAACTGAAACTTTGAAGATTTTTGTATTAGTTTGTGCATATTTCAATCTTCTCTTCCATTAAAATATTTCCAATTTTACAATCTATCCATCCATCCATCAATTTTCTTCCACTTCCGGGGCCGGGTTGCGGGGGCAGCAGTCTAAGCAGGGACTCCCAGACTTCCTTCACCCCGGACACTTCCTCCATCTCCTCTGGGGGGACCCTGAGTCATTCCCAGGCCAGTCGAGAGAAATACTCCCTCCAGCATGTCCTGGGGCTTCCTTGGGTCTCCTCCCGTTGGGACATGCCCGGAACACCTCCTGAGGGAGGCACCCAGGAGACATCCAGAACAGATGCCCAAACCACCTCAGCTGCTCCTCTCGACGTGGAGGAGCAGCGGCTCTACTCCGAGCTCCTCCCCTGTGACTGAGCTCCTCACCCTATCTCTAAGGGAGCGCCCAGCCATCCTGCGGAGGAAACTTATTTCGACTGCTTTATCCGCGATCTCGTCATTACCCAGAGCTCATGAGGGCAGGAACATAGATTGATGGGAAATCAAGAGCTTCGCCTTTCGGCTCAACTCCCTCTTCACCACAACGGTCCGATACAGCGACCACATCACTGCCGACGCTGCACCGATCCGCCTGTCAATCTCACGCTCCATCCTCCCCTCACTCGTGAACAAGACCCTGAGATACTTAAACTCCTCCACTTGAGGCAGGGATTACAAATTTTATTAAAAAGCCATTCAATAACATTTTTTTATGCGGCTTTTTAGTATCTGTACCTGCTCGATTGAGGCTCTAGCTTCACTACAAGTTTTAGTATTTGATTTTCGATGCACTTACTGTGGTGGAAATACTGTAAGCCAGAACCTATCCTAAAAAATATATGTTGTGAATAGATAGTGGGTTTACTACGACTCCAGGTGGGCAAGAAAACAGCATGAAACACAAAATCTCTATATAGTATTTTGACATTTCTTCTCTCCTATACTTCAATACACAAGCAGCACTAACTTCACAGCATCTTCTTCTTCTTCTACTCCAGTATAGAATCTGTGTGTGTGAAAACTCGTCTCCCCTCTCCTCGTCTGCCTGTCCGGTCTGCTACAGAGGGAGACCAGCTCGGAGCAGGTGGACAGCTGTCAGACTACCCATGATGCAACACTGCTCAATACTTACCCACCTCCGCAACGCCACGGATTTACTGACACCTTGCACCATCCAGGCACTTACCCAAAACATGTCAGAGGAGTACAATTATTTGGGAGAATTGATCAAAAAGAAACGAATTGGATTTTGGATAATTGCTCAAAATTGAAACGTTTTTCTCTTTTAATTTTCGTCTGTGCAAAACCAATTTTAAAACTCCATTACAAAACCGATGTCTCATTTTGCGCCGTGTCCTGGGGCAAGACACCTCACCCATGTTGCACTCACTGTATAATGAAGCTTGTTGCATCAGAAAGGGCATCTGGCATTAAAAAAAAAAACAACTTTCCAAATAACTAGGAGTGGAGAGAAACTAGTGCACGGCCTGTAGCATAAAGAGGGCAGCAAAGGTTTCAAAGGTTTATGTTTTTGAAATCAAGTAAATAACTAACTAACTAAATAAATAAATAAACATAAATTAATTAAATTAAAACAATATATTATAAAATAAACAATGTAGAATAATTATATTATTATATAATATTATATATAATAATTAAAAAATATATATAATTACTAGTGCTGTCATGCGATAAAAAAAATTGAGAGATTAATTAATTATGATCTGTAATTAATTAATCTAATTAATCTCTTTTTAATCTCACCTAAAAATTGCTGAGAAAAGTCTTCAATTTGAGGTATTTTCATTTAAATTCATTATTACATTATTGTGGCAGATCAAAAGACTGATATAGAACAAAAAAAAGTGACTTTATAAAGTCATTTATTGTTTAACAAACTTTAACAGATAAAATGTATTCCACTACAGATTACAGATTACATACCCCAAAATGTAGTTCGTAACTTAATCCATTTAATTATTAAAATGATTAACATAATCTGAATACTTTGGATTACTTGATATTGTCATGATCTTTAAAACTACATGAATGTAGCAACCACATCCTGAAAATTCTTGTTTGTTGTCTTCAAATTGTCTGTTGAGCCCAAGTCTCCATGAATAAGAAACTGTTTGCTGTAAAGTAGCAAAGACGAGGAAATCTGAACATAAGATGTTTTGTCTGTTTAAAGACAATAAAAAGCCCAGTCTGTCCTTAACCATATTAAAAATATTACTGATAGAGAAATGCTTTATATATGAGATCACTGGTTTTAGACCTGGTTTTAGTTCTGGTTTTAGTCCTGGTTTAGACCTGGTTTAGACCTGGTTTAAATCCTGGACTGGATTAGTCCCGTTTTAGTCTTTGTGTTAGTTCTGGTTAGAGGCGCATAGGAGGAAGCACGGTTTAACGCGGCGTACACGAGAAAACGATCCACACGCGGCTCACTGGCAGCACGTCGGTGTCGCGCAGTCACCAGTCACTGCTATTTGGTCATGACGTATGTAATGAGCCAAATCCCGTAGGAAGAAGGGCAATAATGTCTTTCCCCTTGATAAAATTCACCAAACATTCTCTTTGTTCCGGCTTTAAATCCTCGATCTCGGGAATTGTTGACAACACAGAATGTATGACTCTTCACTGATTGGCTGCTGCCCGAACTCGCACTTCCAGGTTTTTGTGAACTGTCTAGTGTATTCTGATTCCTGACCTAGTCGCCAGAGAGAAATTAAATTGACTGGCTATAAAATTGCAGCTCCGTGTTCAGAAACAGTAAAAAAACCACAAAAAAAACAACGCAATTTCAAGTACTATGTGACATCACACAGGACTGGCCTGATCACAGACACTCTACGCCAATCACAATGTTGCTTATACCCCTAGACTTTGAAACCGGCTTGTGGCGGCACGGTGGCTGAGTTCGTAGCACTCACGCCTCACAGCAAGAAGGTTCCGGGTTTGATCCCCGGGTCGCCCGGGCCTTTCTGTGTGGAGTTTGCATATTTCTCCCCTGTGTCTGGATGGGTTTTTTTTAGGCACTCCGGTTTCCCCCATCAACCCAAAACATGGCTACAGGTCTCCAAGGACAGTTAATAGTCACGGTCAGTTAAATACAATCAATCAATGAACCTGGTGCTAGTGGCCAGACACTTCACCCATATTGCCTAGTATGAAAGTGACGTGTGCATGAGTGATGGTGGTGGTCGGACAGGACCGTTGGCGCGCCTCTGTCAGTTTGCCCCAGGGCAGCTGTGGCTACACAGTATCTTACCATCACCAGGTATAGAGTGAATGAATAACATATGCTGAATGTAATGCTCTGTAAAGCGTCTTTGTGGCAAAAATGTCTGTGAAAAACGCTATATAAATGGGGACTGACTGACTTTGCCCTCCTTCCTTTCACTTGCATCTTTATTCCTCTAGTTACTTTCTAAAACGATAGCAGCTCTTTTTGAAATATGGTTATGTGCGGAGTTTAGTTAAGTCCAATTTTAAAGGGCCCATATTACGCTGTTTTCCGATCAATCAAACAAACCTGGAGTTGTGTTTTTTTTTCATTCACATGTTTAACACACAAACCCTGCATGTTTAGGCTGACTTCTTCTCTCAAACAGAAAACACACTCTTCCACCATGTAATACCAGAACCCCATACATGTTCACTAGAATCATTTGGACAATTTCAACCCCTGAATTTCCAATCTCTACTCAACTAAAGGTAAAAGGAGCTGTTAACTTGAAAACTCAGCATCATGACATCACAAGGTGTAGACCGACTAACAATAAAGGTGCGAACGAAACTAAACACAACTCCAGGTACGTTTTTGATTTTCAATAAACACACCTATAACTGAACACGTGTAAGATAAAGCAGTGTAATGATATACTGTGAAACATTCAAGGCCGTAACATCTCCATGGAAACAGGCAAGGCACGTCCCCTCCACTCGAAAAGGCCAGTGTGACTTCAGTGTAAAGAAGCCGCGCCGTTGCACAAGACAAATTATGATGAATGAACCCACGCTCCGAGCCTCACCCAACAGACCGATGTTTATTTTCATAACTCTGACTTTTTTATAACTTGGAATATTTTCTTTTCGCCAAACTTTTTCTGACCTGAATACAAGTAGGGCTGGGTCAAGGTACTTTGGCTCGGTACGACTTTGGTGGGTGAAAAGTTGCATCATACTAAATCATAAATCATAAGAGCGTGTACGATACATATATATATATATAAAAAAAAGATGGACATAGAGAGCAGGTAGGTGTTTTCAAGGCGAGCATACCAAGTGAAATATTAGGCGGTATATAAGAGGAAGCGATGCTGCGTTGAATCCATCATGTTGTACACCTGGGGCCCTTGTTAAGAGCAGCACCTGAGCAGTGTCTGAGCATACGAGGAGACGGTAAGATAAACTATAGGAGGAAATAGCACGTCTGGTGGTGGCCGTCTTGTGAATACAGGTCAGATGTCACTATATCGTGGCTTACCTGGGTTTTTATTGTTCAATCAGAGGCTCAGAGCTTGTGGAGCTTGTTTGTACCGTATTTTTCGGTCTGTAAGTGGCACTTTTTTCATGGTTTGGGTGTTTCCTGCGACTTATACTCCGGTGTGACTTACATATTAAAATTTTCACACTGACAGCGGCGAGAGGCTCTAGTCTTGTGTGTCAGTATCTTCTACTACTATTACTCCTGTACTGTGCATGTCTCCTGCAGAAAGAGCCTCTGTCTTGTTTGAAGTAAGTGAAATATTCAGACGAAAAACGATAATTGAGCAGCAGAAAGAATGTTTGGAGTGAGCGAGAAACTTGTGAGGGACTGGTGAAAAGCGAGGGATGGAGAGAACACAGCTTCGCGATAACAGGGAGGGTGAGCCATGTAACTTTCCTGGAAGTCACTGGATGGATCAATAAAGCCTGGACTTTAGTGACAATGAAATCATCCTGTCGGGATTCAGAAAGGCCGGAATAATTCTAACTGGAACTGATGCTGAGTCTGACGACAGCTACACAGAAGAGGAAGCGGCGCTCTGTTGACCTCCGGAGGTCGTGGAGTTGCTCAGAAGTGGCACAGAAGGATGAAGAATTAAATGGATTTAGTGATCTGGAGTGAGATGGAGAGTTTGATAAACTTGTTTTGTTCCAGTGCTGTCGAGCGATTAAAAAAACTGAGAGATTAATTCATTATGATCTGATTAATTATTAATCTAATTAATCTCTTTTTTAATCTCTCCTAAAAATTGCTGAGAAAAGCCTTCAACTTGAGGTATTTTCATTTGAATTCATGATTACATTATTTTCATACTATCATTAATGTTTTTATATAACTATCATCATTATTACTATTACTAATCTACATAAATAAACTAAACTTTACAACATATAAACATAAATACTATAGAGCCACATCAGCCCATTTGACATTATAATGTGTTTAATGCAGTTTTGCGCAAGTCTCACAGAAACAAAACCTAAAACCGCATGGCTCATTTGCATAAACTAAGCGAGAAAAAAAAAAAAAACAACGCTCTTGTGGTTTAGCTTCTACTAAAAGACACGACTCAGTGGAATATAGATGTTCTCTCTGTGTCAGAGGGATGTTGATGGTGAAGGTGAGTCTGTTCTGTGTCTGTGTCGCGATGTTTTCAGAGATCAGACGTGTGCCTGTTTATCGCAGATGCGGTGACAACGGGAATGAAAATTAGGCTACAATTCTTCTGCACAGTGCGGGACTGTGTCCTAACAACACATAAAAACTGATTTTATAATAAGGCAACTCGCATACAGAAACAGTAAATTTTGAGATTAAAAATAAGATTAATGTGATTAAAAAACAAAACGCGCTAAATATGACTGTAATTAATTAATCGCAATTAACGTGATAATTTGAAAGCCCTATTCTGTTCTGTTGTTTATGTTATAGTTATTTGAAGAACTGTTCATATGTGACGTTAACAGTCTGTTGTTCTCTGTTCTGTTGTTATTACTACTGTATGACTTGACTTTCAACATGAAATGTCGGTTCCTGGTCTCTGATTATATAAAATAAATTCCTCCCCAAAAGTGCAACTTATATATGTTTTGCGACTTATAATCTGAAAAAAATATGGTAGTAGAGATGGGACAAAATCTCGTGAGACAAAATTGCCGCAAGATTGTACAAGAGAAAAACGATCTTTTGAGATTTTTTTTCCAAGTGATTACATTTGGATAAGACAAAAAAGGGCTACGGGTTGGTGAGTTACACTTCTTTAACAGATCCAAAAAGCAGTAATAGAATGGAAACAAAAAAATGAGATAAAAAATAATAATAAAAAATTGTGAGATCAAAATTGGAACTTGAATAGCAAAATTTATATCAAAAATGTATATAATGATGTGTGAGCTACTGTGTCCAAGTAATTCCCCATGTGGATCAATAAAGTTTGTCTAAGTCTAAGTCTAAGAAGAGTTGTTGGTTTATTCTTTAACCAGCTGTGCCACTGCATCATTTGTTTGAGTTGAACGAGCTTTAAATGCATAACAAACTCCAGTGTTTACGCGGCGTTACCTTGTTGTGTGTAGCAGACGACCATGAGCTCCTGGCTGACGTCTCCGCTCCTCCTCACGGGAATAAACAGCTCCCCGATGTCTTCCTCGATGTTGTAAACGGCAGACGGGATGAAGACCGTGGATTCTGCACGACACAAAAACAAAGAGAATGTAACGAAAGACAGATAAATAAATAAATATATAAATAAATAAATAAATAAATAAATGCTAACTGATGTGAGGTGTCGCTCATTAGGAGCCCGAACGATTATGTAACAGATAATACTCCCTACAACTGTACAACAACTCAGACAATACAAATAATATTCCCTACAACTGTACAACAACTCACCCTTATGTAACAGATAATACTCCCTACAACTGTACAACTCAGAAAATTCTCCCTACAACTGTACAACAACTCAGCCTTATATAACAGATAATGCTCCCTACAAATGTACAACTCTCTCTTATGTAACAGATAATACTCCCTACAACTGTACAACAACTCACCCTTATGTAATAAATAATACCCCCTACAACTGTAGAACTCAGATAATACTCCCTACAACTGTACAACAACTCACCCTTATGTAACAGATAATACTCCTTACAACTGTACAACTAACTTATGTCAGATAATACTCCCTACAACTGCACAACAACTCACACTATTGTTCCAGATAATAATCCCTACAACTGTACAACTCACACTTATGTAACAAATAATACTCCCTACAACTGTACAATAACTCAGATAATACAGATAATACTCCCTACAACTGTACTTCTCACACTTATGTAACAGATAATACTCCCTACAACTGTACAACAACTCACCCTTACATAAATACAACTTACAACTCTAAAAATAATACCCTACAACTGTACAAAACTCAGATAATACTCCCTACAACTGTACAACATGTAACAGAATACTCCCTACAACTGTACAACACCTCAATGTAATACAGATAATACTCCCTACAACTGCAACTCAACTTATGTAACAGATAATACTCCCTACAACTGTACAACAACTCACCCTTACATAACAGACAATACTTCTTACAACTGTACAAAAACTCAGGTAATACTCCCTACAACTGTACAATAACTCAGATAATACTCCCTACATCTGTACAACTCACCCTTATGTAACAGATAATACTCCCTACAACTGCACAACAACACAGTGAACCATCCCAGACAAAGCGACAACATCTCCATGGAGAAAAGTACGGACTCTCCACTGGAAAAGTTACGCGGCGCACTTTTAAAGCACCTTTCAAAAAACCTAATTGAAAACGACATTAAATGACATTAAATTCCAACAAAACAAAAGACAATCTGGTGGTTTGACAGATCCTTTTGTTTGCACCTGCACCACGGACCGACGACAGCAATCATCTCCCCCTAACCCAGCGGGCCTGAGCTCCTGACACTTCAAATACAGTCTGATAAATTGACATTGAAACGACAAGGCGGCTCTCTTCGTGGTTTCAGATGCTTCGTGACAGAGCTCCCGAAACCGCTCGCGCTCTGGGGACCTGACAGCTCTCATTACAGCCCCTCTGATGGAACTTTGAAGGTCTTTTATCACACGGACCCTATGGAGATGCGGCCTCTTCCACGAACCGCGAAACGTCTTCTATGGTCTTACAACAGAGGAGTATACGGGGGTGGATAATGTATGCAAGAACCAAGAACATGTGTACACGAGAGTTGTTGGTGAAAGAGTCGTTTATATTTACTCTGTTAAAGGTCCTATATCACACCAAACCTGCCATGACAGCTTTAATTCTGAATAAAAATAAATGGTAACACTTTATAATAACTACACCTTATTTAGCCTTAATAAAGCATGAACAAAGACTTAATTAATAATGATTCACACTTAGTAACTACTTAATTACCACCTGAATTAGCACTTAACCTGCACCTGTGCTGTAAAAAGTTACTCATAAGTATTTCTTACTTAATTACTCATGAACTAATCATTTGTGTGTGCATTTGTAAATGTATATTTAAGTACACATTTGAGCATTTATTAATGATTAGTAAACCATGAGAGAATGATTTACTAGTAATGCATTATTGTTTCTCTGGAATTTGACCAAACTTAACAAATGCTTAATAAAAGCTCTCAAAAAGACTTAACAGATAACAGCTGCCTGAATGATCATTGCATTGCTTTATTAGTGAATCACTCTCACATAAATGCTCAAATTTGTACTTAAATATGCATTTGGAAATATGCAAATGGCTAGTTGATGAGTAATTAAGTAAGAAATACTTATGAGTAACTATTTACAGCACAGGCGAATTAAGCACAAGTTAAGTACTAATTCAGGTAGTAATTAAGTAGTTACTAAGTGTGAATCATTATTAATAAAGTCTTTGTTCATGCTTTATTAAGGCTAAATTAGGTGTAGTTATTATAAAGTGTTACCAAATAAATGAACTCTGAATAAAAATTAATTCTATTGCTATTAATATGTGGTTCATAATCTAAAGTGTCACCCAAAATTTTAAATAAATAATGTCTCTATAGTCTATCTGTAGCCGGCGGGCAGCTCTAATACATATTTGATATGATCTCGCGGGACAAATATAATTATATCGTGGGCCAAATTTGGACCCCGGGCCTGAGTTTGACATGTCTGATGTAAACGTTTATTCTTCTTAAAACGATCCCCAGCTACTTTAACAGGCTGTTCTTATATGATTAATGTTGGTGTTAGTTATAAATATGTAATACCAAAAAACCCAAATATGTTCGTTTCTAGTATTTCTTGATTAAAAAAGAGGAGAAAATACGATCACTAGTAGGTTTACGTCGCAAAGCATTCTGGGTAGCGTCGTCACAAGGTCGTTGTCTTCTGTCGTCGGGTTAAACTTGTGCTTATGCTCCGTTTTACTAATACCACTGCGCAGCTTTTGGTTGTAATTTCCAGTAATTATCAATGAAGAAATCGTAATCGTAAATTTTCATGATGTCGTAACTTTTCACACAATACATTTTCTGTACGACTGGACTCATTCAGAGTTTATGAATATTTATTTTATGCTCAACTACTGCCAAATGCGCACGATTTCTATTCTATGCACATAAATATTTCTGAAAAGCTTTCTTACTCCATAGTAATTAAATTAGTAAATTTACTCACCCTGACCTGCCCCTGACAGAAAACTGAGCTCCTTACAGCAGACGCTCTCCCTCTCTGTTACACTGGCGAGCACTTGTTGCCCACTCACCATTGATTGTGACCAACACTCTCTTCCACACCTCTCTGATCGTCTTCATGCTCATCATTTACAGTACTGTCCGCGAAGTTGTCCTCCAAACTTAATGTGCGCTCAGGTTCAAACTGAAAAGGCTGAATAGAAGCCGTGTTTATCTTGCAGAGACAGCGAATCCAAGCATCCAGTCGACGAGGCTACCCTGAATCCTTTGCGATGTAAACAAATATGGTCAACTACTCGCGATCGTATTTTCTCCTTTTTTATAACAAAAAAATACTACAAATGAGCATGAGTTTTTTGGTCTTACGTATTTATTACTGACCCCAATGTTAATCATATAAGACCAGCATGTCAAAGTAGCCGGGGATCCTTTTAAAAATAATCCCGGTCATTCAGTTCATGCTCGTTGGGTCGCGCATTGAACGAGATCCGGACGATCTTGCTCCACCAGTCCTCCCTTCGGACTTTCATCCACGTCTCTTTGGATTTGCGAGCGGGATGCGGGAGTGGGCTGAGGCAGAGCAGTCGTTGAGTCAGTTTGTCGTCTTCCTCCCTCCTCCTCAACTCACAGACATAAAGCTTAATGAGAGAATTCTCCAGCTGCTGCACAATTATCATCGGAACGACCGCGGAAAAAGTTTGCGTCACGTTTGTGTCCGTGGCGTAACGACAAACCGAGATGACAAAAAAGCCGGTAGCAGCTGAAGTGTGTGTTTTCTTCCCAAAGACGTAAATATGTTCATGTCCCTGTCCAATCAGAACCCTTCATGACATTGAGCAGAATTAAATAAAGGTGATTTAACGTGTTTTCCATGTAAACCTCAATTCGTAATTATTATTTCCATGTAAACTCGAAGGAGAATATTTTAATTCAGAACTATTTAATTCAGAATTAAAAAACATCATGTAAACGTGGCCACTGACTCTTGTGAACTTTAAGCCATGATACAAACCCAGAGTTTTGTTTTGTTTCATTCACACGTGTTTGAGTAATCCTTTATTTTTAGTCTGTCTACATCTCCAAAGCTCAAAATGCTCTGTTCCACCTTGTGATGTCATGAAGAAGTAGTTTTCATGTTTAGCAGCTCCTTTTACCTTTGTTTAGTAGAGATTGGCAATTCCAGGGATGGGAAAAATTACTCTCGCTCTTGCTCTTAACATAAACGTCATTGGTAGAGTCCAGCTCCTACAGATGAATGCTGTCATTATGTCCTTGGGCAAGACACTTAACCCACCTCACCCCTAGTGTCTGCGTACATTGGTCTATGAAAGTGTATGAATGAATTGGTGAGTGGTTCCTTGATGTAAAGAGCTTTGAGTGAAGTACCATTCACTGTTAAATGACTCAAACATTTATTCCACCTTGTCTTTTGTCAGTAGTTTTATGGTCTATTATGGACTTCTTTTTTAAATCACATAATAACTTGTTTTATAATGTCAAGGCAAGTTTATTTGTATAGCACAGTTCATACACAAAGTAACTCAAAGTGCTTAATACAAAATTATAAATCAGATTAGACTATTAATTCCAAAACTCCTCATTTTGACTTTCAGTTTGCCTGATATATTTTTTTACTTAAAGATGCACTGTGTAATTTTTTTGGTGAAGGGTCTGTCACTTGATTTTTTATTTTTTTTTCCATGGAGGTTTTATTGCTTTGCCTGAAATGTCCCACAGTAACATTAAACCGATCTCTCTATGTTACATTTATCCAATTACGGGTGTTTTTTAGGCCTGTAACGATAATCAATAAATTAATTAACCGTACGATAACTTTTAACGAGCTCGATAACTTTTCCGGCTGTAATAATTTCTATTTGTATGCTTGTTTGTTTTCCTTGTTTCTCTCATTCTCTCTTAGCCAGACTGGCGCCACCTAGTGCCTTCGCTCAATTTTA